ATGACGATATGGAATTCCATGCTTTCTATGATTAAGCGCAACATCCATAGCTACACATTCTTCTATTGTGTAGGCATTATAGATAAAATTTAGATGTCATACAATTTGATTGTATAAATTGAATACAAACTTAAAAGGAGAACATTAATAAGACAACAAGGGTGATAATAAGAATTAAAACTTATAGCGAACATCTGGTGCCTTCATTGAGATTACGTATTTGTTGGAACATGTTTGTCATATATAATGCCCCTGAGGAACATGGGGAGAATTGTTCCAAGACTGTTGTTGTGCTTTTGTCTAGATTTTGAGGAGGCAAGTATTGGAGCATGGTAGTCACAGATGACACCATTGAGATATTTATTAGTGTGCCTTCTTCAAGATTTTGAGGAGAATTTTCTTGATTCATGATGGCTACAGACAACCACGTGAAGTAGTTTTTGTGGTGTCTTCATTAAGATTTTGGAGCAAGGTGGTTGACGATGACTCTAAAATATTTGTTGTCACTACACTATCTGTTATAGGATGGAAAATTTTGGTAGACAAAGTCATTGGTTGAAGGCAGGACCTTTTATTTGATTCTCGTTCTATGCATGCTCGACGACGATGGCTCGGTGGTAAAGAGGGAAAAAATCTAGGCTGAATGGAGGCACAATATTTTGATCGCTCTCTTTTGTGACGTGCAAGTTGTACCAATTGACGTTTGAAACACTTATTTTCTTTCCTAGCATAACGCATTTCTAGAGCATGCCTTGCACATTACAGCAAGGTTGATTTTGATAAAACATTATTGTTTGGTACCTAAACCACAAACTCATAAAAAATTAATTATTATTTTGTTGATTTAACGTAGATCGTATCATTTAAGTTGTATATATAGCAACGTGAGGTATACATGACAAATCATAGTGTTACAATGTTAAAATTCATATGGATCAAAAGATTTACTAAACTCTCATTAAATAACAATGTTGCATTGACAAAACTATTTACCCAACCATTTATCAACATTATAATTATAATAAAGTTTTTGTTTGATGCAAAAATAAAACACCATAGCCCAAGTTGCATCCAACACATTTTTTACTAATTACTGGATAGATGGCAAAAATGCAATATCAGATTATAGAGTAACATGTTTTAGAGTAATATCCTCGATCAATAACATCTTGAATTTCACAACTTGAAATGTATGCTATAAATAAGATCAAAATATGTTTCAAACTACTGAGAAAGGTTACAGTTTCACTATTGATCGATGCTTCAAATTATGAAATGTTCAAACAAATTTAGAGTTTTAAAAATGGGACCCAACAAAAGATGTAAATTATATTTCATAACAAAAGCTTAAAGACTACAAATCAACATTAAGATTAAGAAATTAAAACTCTCAATTACAAAAATGGTCAAAAAAAACAAAAAATTATAGTTCCTCAGTAATTCAATTGTATACACAAAATAACACGATAACAAAAATTAAGTAATATTGAATGAGACAAACCAAAAACATGTTGATAAATCAAATGTTCTACATATTCATCTTGCTCTACAACCAAATTATGAGATTAAAAGTATTAGTAGTAGACGAATTAAAGTAATCATAACAATAGGGTGGGCAAGTGAATAACACATATTAAAAAACAGATAAGTATATACCAACATATAAAGTGCAATAAATAGATGAGAAACTTTTGAAATGAACCTAAGGTCAAGAATAAGAAGTGCAAGGTCAAGAATAAGAAGTGCAAGAAATGAGTAAAGTTTAAAAGATAAAAGTTGATTGCAAAAGCATGTGTATAAGTCATAATGATGTAAAGTCCAAATCTATTGTAAAAATTGTGAGAAAAAGATAGAATCAATAGTCATACCAGTTGACAATCTTTATTTTTTGTTCTTTGGCTAGAAGATGTTGCTTTTTCTTTCCCTTTAAATTTGGCATTCACCAAAGCATCAGACCTTTTTTTCCTTCTATTATAGATTATTGTATGGAATGTAAGAAAACGTTACTTAAAAGCAAAAAAAAAAAATGAATGAGAAATAGGTGAGGTAACACTATCTCATGTATACGGAAACGATTTAGTTCATATTCATTGCGAATTACCACTCCTATATTATTATGACGAAGTCTTCGAACCTGTAGATAAAAAAATATTGAATAGTAAATAAGCAGGGTAAAAAATTAGATAAAAAATAATAAAATGATGAGTAAGAAAAACTTATCATACGACATTTTGTAGATCGTTGTCCATCTGTCACGACATTAATAAAGATAAATCAAAATAAATAAATTATTAAAAAGATCAATAAGAGATGTTTAGAGAGAGTTAAGAAAATGATAAACTTACACAACCAAATATAATGACATCATCCATCGGTCGATTATTATGCAGTTGAAACGGTGGTGACTACACAATAAAATTACAATGATTTAAATTAATTACAATGAAATTTCAACTATAAAATTAACATCAATTACAATGAACATGCATTTAACATGAACACTCAATAATAACCAAGTCAACATCCATTCCATCATAACATTCATAATAAAAAAAAACCTATTTCATCATAACTATATAAACCTATTTCATAAACTAACAACCTAATATTCATAACTAAAAAAAAAAGCATTCAATTAAACACTCAATTAAAAGGCACCCCAATTCAAAAATTGTTGTGCGGTGTATGTGTGCAGTGTGCAGTGTGTGTGTTTGTGTGCAGATGTGTGTGCTTGACTCCACATTTTTACTCCAATTCAATATTGGTTCGAGCACAATTTTCATAGTTCGAATCAAAAATTCATGTGAAGAGACTAGATGCCACTGCAAGACTCCAGTACCAAACACAAACCAAAGGATGGACCTTTGATAACAAACCGCACTAAGAAACTATTGTTTTTCTCTAAAATCTTATAAATTTTCTCTAAAATGTTTTTTCTCTAAAATGATTTATACTATAAAAGTCTATTGCCACATGACAATGTTGAAACTCAAATTAATCTAACTTAAGGGGGCCTATAAAAACCATGTCGAATGTAAAAATCATTAAAGCAACTCACAAAAAAAAATCAAAAAAAAAAACCCAAAAAAAAAGAAGAAAAAAAATCAAATTCACAACAATCAGTACAAAATTGTCATGTGAACCCAAAACAACTAATTTCTACGGAAAAAGTCGCAAACACAAAGTGGCCTTACATAAGAGTCCATCTAGCACCGTTTGGAAAATGGAAAGAAAATTTGAAAATCAAAGTTTTCTAACTCAAATGTTCATCAAACAATGGTTGTGTTATATATATAAGGCACAAAAAAATGTTGTTTTTTCTCTAAAAAGCTTATAAATTTTCTCTAAAATATTTTTTTCTCTAAAATGATTTATACTATAAAAGTCTACTGCCACAAGACAGTGTTGAAACTCAAACTAATCTAACTTAAGGGGGCTTATAAAAACCATGTCGAATACAAAAATCATTAAAGCAACTCACAAAAAAAAATCCAAAAAAAACACAAAAAATAAAGAAAAAAAAATCAAATTCACAACAATCAGTACAAAACTGTCATGTGACTAATTGCTAGGGAGAAAGTCGCAAACACAAAGTAACCTTACATAAGAGTCCATCTAGCACCATTTGGAAGATGGAAAGAAAATTTGAAAATCAGAATTTTCTTACTCAAATGTTCATCAAACAATGGTTGTGTTATATATATAAAACACAAAAAATTGATCTTAGAAAGGCTAAAATGTTTGTACCCTTTAAACAATGAAACCAAACCAAGAAACAATGAAACCATGAAATGCTTGAATCAAACAATGAAACCATCCACAAACCCAAAACTTGAGAAGAAATTTCACAAACCCACATCATTTGTTATGACCAAATAAAACAATGAAATCATCCACAAACCCAACAATGAAAACATTGTATGACCAAATCAAACATTTTTCGCTGCTGCCACTGCTACTTTAACAAAACCCAAAACTTTAGGCAGCTAATTCCACAAATCCAAAAATTCATATCGAAATTCCACAAACCCACATTAAAATTCTAACCTCAAGGTTCGAAACCCACAAACCCAAAAATCGTTTGCTAATTCTTCCATGGGAGAAGGAGGTACCTGGGTTGAGCTGTCGTTGATCACCGCTGGGCTGTTATTGATCTTGGGCTGTACCTGAGCTGTTGCTATCGCTGATTGTCGCTGAGAACGTTGGTTGAGCTATGACAGAGGAGTGAGAGGTGAACAGTCTAAGGGGTGTAAGGGGTTTGGGTAGAGTATAGGGGTGGGTATCGTTTAGATTTTTTTTTGATCGTTGCTGTGTTGAGCCATGAGCCATGGTAGAGGAGTGAGAGGTGTTGAGGCTTGAGAAGAGAGAGATGAAATGTAAGGGGTTTAAGTAGAGTGTAGGGTTGGTAACGTGAAGGGGTTGATTTTATTTGGGCGGGATTTTTTTTCATATGAGATAAAATGTGGGTCATTAGATCCAATTAGAAGAATTAGATAAAATCTAGATCGTTGAATTAAAATTAGAATGAATCAGAGTTGTCTTTGGGCTTTTCCAAATGAATTTAAATTAAATTAAATTTTAAAGTGAAAAAAAATTCAAATTGAGTTCTATCAAGTTAAAATTATAATGAATCAGAGCCGTCCTTATACTTTCTCAAATAAATTTAAATTAAATTAAATTTTAAAGTAAAAAAAATTCAAATTACGTTATATCTTATTATTATAGATTTTTCATCCGGTTTAAAAAAAAAAAAAAAATTGCCGTTCCCTCGTAAAAGTTGAGGGGGTGCGCACGTTAAGCTACAATGTCAAAAAGAAACTCCCCCAGGGTGGGTTTTTTACTTTTGTACTACTCTTCATCATCATTTCATCATTCTTGTACACAGTTTGACTTTATAAATAGCCTAGCCTACTCTCTGACACTGATCGCATTACATTCTCTCTCTCCTTCATTCAAACTTCTTCACTCCTTAGTTTCTCTTAGGTCTCATACCCCAAACGGCGATGGAGGGTCTTCCCTCTGGTTATCGTCCCAACGTCGGAGTTTGTCTCATCAACGATGATAATCAGGTACTCCTCTCTCTTCAAAATCTATAAGGTTTCTTTTCCTTTTTTTTCTGTTGAATTTTGAAGTATATTTTCTTCTTTAGTCGATTGATAAAACCGTATAAATTTGGTGGGTTGATGTTAATTAACACTATGGCTCTTGTTTATATTTGCAAAATCAGTCTAGAATTTGCTTCTTGTGTGCTTCTTTTTGTGTAAAGTCAAAACTGGGTTTGAATCAAAACATGCTGTAACTGTTGCTGTCATGGCTTAATGATAAAGGTAGAGCTATTAAGATGGGACTGAGTATCAGGTTCCAATCCCAAAATCATGGGATGAGGTGAGGATGGGGTTCAGTTTTGACCACTAACAATCTAGAGTAAAAATACAGTTTCCTTTTTTGTCTTGTATAAGTTTTTGTTTTTTTAATGTTTTTATAACTGTTACTTTATTATTATTGTTGTTCTTGTTGTTTGGGTGAACTTGCATGTGGTGAAGTGTTGGCGTTATGGAGTTATTTTAATTCAATATAAATCTAAGGGATACATATTTAATTCGAGCCTGGAAATCATTAATTACAGATTATATTGTTGATTAGCCTATATTTTGAGTGGGGTGATTCTAAAAGATATTTGAGGAGACAAATTTCTGATTGTTTGTTGCACAAATCCACAAATTTTATGGACATTCATGTCAAAATTAGTCGAATTAGAGCTTTGTAAACTAAACTAAAACATACCCTTTATGTTGTTTAATTAAAAACTGGAACTGACCCATTTAACTATATATCTCTGTGTGTGCCCATCATGTGTCCTAGTTCTATGTTCCTATATATTTCTAACAATGGTTGGAGAAATTGTAGCCAGCTCAGACACTATTTGAACAACATTTATAAAGGTTTGACCTCATCACTTATTTTTTGTTTGGTTGACAATCTTGTACTTTGGATGGATTTGCATGGAATTTGGCATAAAATGTAGCCTGTCATATTGCTGTAAACACTGATCATACAAAGTGTAAAGTTGACAGAATAAGTTCAGCAAAATGCATAAAAGTTTGTATTATTTGATGCTTAAATTTTTTTTGGAATGAAACATAACATGATTTCAGTTCCCCAAAAAAAAAAAATGATTACAGCATCATTTCCAATGGCTCTTAAAGGAGCAGTGGTTGAAAGGTACACTATAGGATCATTGGAAGCCCAGTTATTTGCTTCAGGGAAAGTAGCCAGACCCTATGATACTCAGGGATGTAGCTGTGCAATTTTGATGCGTGTTACATAATTTTTTTTGTTTCAATTTTGTGCATCGTAGAACCTTTAATGACTAGTTTTTTTTCGGCGGATGTTTATAGAATGGAGAGATGGAGGAAAACTAGACGTTTGCTAAAGTATTTATATTTCCTTAACATTACAGATATAGTTGTGTTGGTACATGGAAAGAAATGATAATCCACTGCGATTTACGTGCAGGTTTTTGTGGCTTCCAGACTGAATGTTCCTGGAGCATGGCAGATGCCTCAGGTGATGCCACTGGAAATGCATTTTTCTTTGGTTTGAACATTTTGTGGATTTGCATTACTACAAAGATTTTTATCAAGATGTTTCTTGGCATAGGGTCAATGCCATACTTCTTGTGTCTAACTCAAATTTATTCATTTTAATTAAAGATTTATGCAGCTGATGATCTATTAACACTATATCTCTCTTACATGGATCCCCTTTCGATATGATTGCCAATGGGCTACAAAGATGATGGTACCCAGAGGGATTACCTCATTATCCACCCCCCCCCCCCCCGGCGAATTTAATCCCTCGTGTATGGTTCAAAATATAATAATATTCAATCATTTATTTTCATCCATCAGCATAAGGAAATTTCTACCACCTCAATTACCCTTTATATTGCAATTCATATATATGCAATGAATAGTCCACATCAGATCTTTCTGGCATAAATTGTTGCGTAAAAACTAGGACTTTCATGTGTTAATATAAAGAATTTCTTATTGTTTGTGTAATGTGTTGCTTTTCATTGTTTATCTAGTAGGAGTTCCTCATGACCTTGCTTGAGTTTGCATAGGATTTTGAATCTCCTTTGCATAAATTTGGTTTGGCCTTTGGAGTTTGGACCCTCCCGTTTGAACAATTTTGGTACCAAGTATACCTAAGAAGAGTTATCTTACACCTTTTGATTAGCTATGTCCTCAGTTTCTCTTTGGGATTTCCCCTATACTATTAAGTCTCTTCTCACAATTTGGATACTTCTTGTTAATACTGATTACTCCTTTTTGACTTCTCAATGTTAGGGGGGAATTGAAGACGGTGAAGAGCCAAAGTCTGCTGCGTACAGGGAACTGCAAGAAGAAACTGGAGTGGTATCTGCTGAAATAATTGCTGAGGTTGGTCTAACTTGAAAATCATGAGCTGTTTTTGTTTTTGTATCCTCACGTTACCAAAGTACATCATTCTAGGTGGGTGGAAAATGCTACATATATATGTACCTCATTATGGGGCTTTAAGGTAAAAGGATGAAAAAGGATATATTGGATCAATCTCTCTGAATGGTGTTGTTAATTATAAATGAGGGTGGCCATGGCCATGTATGTAGATATTTCGATATCAGGTCATCAAAATCCCATCTTGTATCTGACCTTTGACAGAAAGAAACAAGGCCAGACTTAGTATGAGTAATATGTAATGCCATGGTTGTTCACCTTGACACTCTAGTATGACACTATCCTTCATCTCTCTAATTCTAAATTACTTTTTGAAATTAGTTTAGTAACCTTGAGACAATTAAAGGATTGGGGTTTTTTTTAATACCTAAAAAGGTTGTTAATTGGCAGGTTCCTAATTGGTTGACTTATGACTTCCCACCTGCTGTGAAAGCCAAAGTGAACCGTCTGTGGGGAGGTGAATGGCATGGACAGGCACAAAAATGGTGGGTAGAAAGTATATATTTTTATCTCTATACGATATTATTCATGAGACACAAATGCTAATTGCAATAGTTGGCCCTTGCAGTGTTTAGCCCCACTGGTCACACAGCCATGCACCGTTTGGCTCTAGAATCATGGCGACCACCAACACTCTTGGTTGCATTCTTCTGTCTGTCTCACATGTTGGCCAGTTGCCTAGACGAGCACACTGTCGCCTTAGCCTTGGCATTGGGGCACATCATGCCTTGGCCTTGTCGTACTGTTAAGAGGCTAACAGTCACACTGCAGATGTTGCTTTGTAATTCATATTTATGGCTGGCTCAAATGTCTGTATGCATGAAACTACACATATATGAAAATCTTTGCTAGTTACTTTCCACTTGACAAAGGAATTTGGACTATCAAAACAGGTTTCTTATGAGATTGACAAAAGGTGATAGCGAGATCAACTTAGCAAGTGGTGAAGCAGATCGAGAATTCTCAGAGTGGAAATGGGCAAGCCCTGAAGAAGTCATTGAGCAGGTATGTTGCAAACTTCCCTTACAAATCCGAATTTCAATTCCCACCCTGTAAAGTTTAGAAGGGCTTTAGTTTAACTCGGGATAACGCCTAATCACAGGCAGTGGACTACAAACGGCCTGCATACGAGGAAGTTATGAGAACCTTCGGTCCATACCTGAGAGAAAGTAGTATACCTACTAAATGCCAATCGTCCAAATGGTAAATGCTATGCCTGTGGTCTTGCAGCTCTTTCCATGTTTCTAACTCAGTTTGCTCAGAAGTGTTGGGGTGTAGAATTTACTTTGCTCTCTTTGTAAATGGTATGACAGTTGAAACCTCTAGATTAGGTGGTTGCTTGAATGTAATAAAGTTCCAATCCTATTTCCTGATTTTGTCTATAAGATTGCTGTTATCAATTGAGGCCCCTCCTAAAGGAAAGCTAGAGTTAAGCAAATGAGAAATTCAATCATTGTAGTCTTTGACCAATTGAATTGTTGCTGTTTGGAGTGTACCATTATGATGTCAGCATATCAGTGTCATCTGGAGCAGCTTGCTACAACACATCAAAAAAATTAAATTTCATTTTCAAATAACTGAAATCGGCTAAAACGTTTGTTAGAAAACCAATCCATTCTTTTTTCCATCGTTCTTTTTTTTTTTTTACCAAAACATATGCTTCATGTCGTCAAATCTAGTTGAAGAATTCAGACAAAAGAACTGAATTGAAATTCAATTTAAGAACTTGATTGTTCTGGGATTATTCATTTATTGGTTGAGTTCCACATAATGTTCAGATTAGCCCTTACTCGGGCTGAATTAAGACTATCCAAACTCACATCTATCTAAAATTACCATTAAGTATTATTTTTTTTTCACAAATACCCATTAAGTCCTACATTTTAATTTTATATCAAGCTAATCTTGATCTGAGCAATGCTATTGAGACATAAAAATCTGACATAATTTGTTGACTTAATTCACTGTAACCTTTGAATTGACTGTAGGCCCAATCAAATATTGAAACTTGGTGTTTATCTAATGATTCCTATTAAATCACATCATTATGTCAGTAAATTAGGTCAGAATTTTAGGTCCAAATGACATTATTCAATCTTGATATATTATCTTAATGAAGTCCTAAATTCTATAAATATTATATTTTGTTTCAATTATATTCTTCTCTTGACAAATATTGACACCTAAGGTATTAGATATATAATAATAGTAGTCGTCTTCTATTCATACATACTCCAACTTCTTTGTATTTTAAATTATGTATTGCCTATTTGATAATTTTATGAAAAATCTAATTACTAATAATTTTTAGAATTGTCATTATTAGATAAAATAGAGGGTTTTGGTTGGACCCGATGTATTCTCGATGAACAAAAGTTTCACGACAAAAACTCTAATATTTTGTTATTTTAGAATCGCAATTAAAATGAATACTAATACCTAAATAAAAATTGAGCATTCATATGTTTGTAATTGTACCTTCAATAAAAACTCGACATTATTTATTAAAAAAAGTAAATAAACTAACTCATATAAAAAGAGATGACAACTGATCCACTCTAAAAAAAAAACATAAAATTAAATAAAAGTTGATACAAGACAAGAAGAATGAGAGTTGGTAATTAAAGATTAAAGAAAAAATTGGAATATAATAAAATTATGACTTAATTGAAATAAAATATTAAAACTATGAGTTCATTGATAAAAAAATAAAAATGATAGAACTTAATAGATATTTATAAGAAAAAATAATACTTATTGGTAATTTTCTCTTAAAAAAAATTATTTAAACAAAGTATTATCACACGATATTCTGGCGTGGATGACCTTTTTTTGACTACCCCGAATAGTAAATTGGTCTAAGTGTGCATAAACTGCCTCGAATACTCTTAACCGTTGAATCAAAAAAATAAAAAATAATCATAATAATTGTAATAATGGATGAAGGAGGTATTTGATAAGTCACTCTCGCAACCTACCAACCTTAAATTAATCAAATCCACTTTCGATCTATTTAAGCAATGTAATCAAATAAGATGATTAAAGAATTTCTTAGTTGTCTATCATACATAACACAAACTTACTAAAAAACTTCTAGATAAGACTATAGTATCTCCAATATATATTTTAGTACTACATCTAAATTTAAATTGATCTAGAATCATAAATTTAGTCATTAAGTGTCAAAATGGATAATAAAAATATAAACGCTGCTACATTCACTAAAATATTTATCACATTTTGCTTAGGAAATCAATGTGAATTGTTAGATCGGTGGATCCTATCAATTTATTTTATTCACTAATCTAAATATTCATATTTATTTAATAAATAATTTGATAACACAAATCATAATTGGATAAAAATTATAGTTGGTTCCTAAATTTTGCCTTTATTTTTAATTTAGTTTATGAATTTTCAATTTTTTTAATTAGTCTCTTAACTATTAATTTTATTTCAATTAAGTTTTTCTGTCTATTTTTACTATTAGATCATCGCTGAAATAGATCAGAGTAGGCTAGTCTCTAGTTGATCTAATAATAAAAATTGATGAAATGATTTAATTAAGACAAAATTGATAGTTACGAGACTAAATTAAGATAATTAAAAGTTCAAGGACTCAATTAAAATTAAAGATAAAATTTAAGGAATAATTAATTTTTATCCAATCATTAATGGTACTAAAACATTACTTTTTGCTATAATTTACACTAAAAACTTATAAATTATAGAAGAAAGGGGTCATCTCTAGAATAGTTGCAAATCTCTTCCCAAAATCTGTAAACCGAATCCCCAAAAACTATGGACACGAAACCAAATCACCACCTTCAATCCCAAAACCCCTTAAAAAACCCTAAAAATTCTCCAAAACCAGATACATTCAACCTCGAAAACACCAAACACCCAGCAACAAAACACAAACGAGCCATGGAAAAGTTCAGAGAAACGATAATGAAGCTCGCAGAGTCTGATCCAAACAGAGAACTAACGGCGACTCAGAGGAATCTCATTGACCAACAATTTATCGATTTCTTCTCCGATTTTCACACACCTGATCATCCCCCCTACGCAGCGGTATGTATTTACATGTAATTGGCTTGTCTTTGTGCATGTGTGGTTGAATGTACGTGTATATACTGTAGAAGAGTATTGGTTTTTGTGGTTTGTAAAAGGAGTGATCTTGGAGTTGAAACCTCTCATTCACACACAATAGTACACAATACCCACATAGAAAATGTTCTTTGTAGGTCTAATTAATTTGCTTTTCGTGGGTTTGTTCATGGTTATGTACCCATACGAGAATTACCTGTGGGGTGGGTGTGTAGGTATAGTAATACATTAATTAATGGTCTTAGTATGCTTATTCGTGAAAATATTTAACTTAAATAATTGTCAAATGACCGAAATGAATGACGAATTCGTACTCATATATTCTAGGGCTTGGTTTGGTTTGGTTATTATGCTTATACGATCCTGTGAAGATTTGGGTTGGTGTGGTGTTCCGAAAAATGTATGTATCGATTATTTGGTTATGTATCTGGTACAATTACATGTGTTTCGTTCTTGTGTGTGCATGCGTGTGTGAATGTATGATTAGTGCTCTTAGTGGGTTTTAATTTGTGCATGTTCATCAATTTGGTAAATATTTGTTTTTGTTTGGTGTGTTCTTGATGTAGATGATACATAAGGCAATTACAGAGTTGAATGAAAAAGGGGGTTCAAGTGAGGAGTCAATATCAAATTTTTTGAAAAAGGAGTATCATGATTTGCCATGGGCTCATTTTACATTGTTGAAGCATCATCTAAGGGAGCTTTGTGATTGCGGTGAAATTACTGTGACTCGGGGTCAGTGCTATCTGCTTGCCGGTGTAAACCCTGATATGAATTCAAGCACTAAACCTAGAAGGGCAAAAGTGAAAAGGAGGCGGAGGTGGGAGTGGTGGAAGAGACGGAGCAAGCGGCAGAAAAAATGTGGGACAGGGGAAGAAAATCGACAAAAAAAAGAACTAGTGCTAGTGATTGAAAAACAAAATCAATGTAATGGAGGAGGAGCCGAGTTGGTAGGAAAAAAGAAGACAAGAAACAAGGAAAATGTTAACGTGGTTGAGGAACATAGCCTAGTACATGAACTACCACCCAAAGTGACAGATAGAGAAATGGAAGCAGATGAAAACAAGAATAAAGTGGTTGACAATGAAGCACACAAACTAGAAAATGGCCTGAATGAAGGACAAGGTCAACACCAGAAGCAAGAGATTGGAGCTAGTTCTGAGCAAGAGAAAGAGAATGATGTGATCGAAGAGCAAAATAAGCCAAAGAAACAGCACTTTGAAGATATTGAAGAGCAGCTTGAGGAGAAGCAGACAGAACTTGCTACTCCAGAAAGGCCGCCAGGTTTCGACACAACACCCATTGAGGAATTATCTGAGTCACAGGAGTATCAAGAAAAGGATTTCAGTGAAGATAAACCGCCCAATTCACTGCAACCACCTATAGCTTTTCTTTATTTACCCATCAATTCAACGCAGCTTGGTCAAGAATTGAATGTAGAGCTTATAAAGCCCAAAAGACCTCCAGAAGTTGAAATATCAACATCTGGGGAATTATTTGAAAAACACAAACACGAGGTTCGGATTTGTGGTAGCTATGATCAGCTAAAGCGACTTGAATCCCAACCAGCTAGGGCAACTCTCATGGATAGATCCACAGAGTCACCAATGTTTGAGAAAGGGCGCCAATCAGAGGCCCTCTGTTTAGACAGGCCTGCAAAACTCACAAGGATCAGAGTTGATGATTTTTATTGTGAACCACCTCAGCAAGCAGATTGTAGTGGCCAACAAGCAGCCAGAAAAATGATAGACCCTCTTCATAAACCCATGGATGCACAGCAGATTCATCAAGAAGAACATCTGGTGCTTCCAGGTCCATATGGAACGACCCAAACATGTGTTGAGAAAAGACTGCATGACTTCCAGCCGGCAACAGTGACTACTTCCATTGATGTGCCAATAGACTCACAACAGTTTGAGCCTGACGAGCAGCCAGCGTTCTCAAATCAAAGAGGCTCTCCAGAGCTCTGCTGTCAGCAAAAGGCACCAAAATCTGCGCCATTGACTAACACAGCTTGTCACATTGCACCTGTAAATTTGGACCTGGTTGTGCAAGAGCAACATGCAATGTTTCAAAACTCTGAAAGGCCTTCCGAAGTTGACCTGGTAACAGTGGAGGAATTGCCTCACATGCTTCAGGAGGGAAAAGAGGAGCAACGAAAGCAAAGGCAGCATCTAAGGCGAAGGAATTCTGAGTACAAACCAGTTCTATTGGCAAACACAAGGGGACCATCCTCCTTGCAACATCAGCAGCAACATGCAGAGCTTTCAAATTCACAAGGGCTACAAGAGGTAGAATCAACAGCATCATTTAAGACTCTGGAAACCCAGAAGCAGCAAAATAAGTTGTATGGTCGACGAAAACAGGCTAAATCCAAGCTAAGAGAAATGCCAGCTCAAGAAGTACCCTTGATTTTAGAGCAGACTGTGCAGGAGCAGTTACCGGAGCTTCTGAATCCAGAAAAGGCTCTGGATCTCGAGCCTACAGCAGTTGAGCCAGTATCCGAAAAGCAACAGAAGCAACAAGAGCTGGGTGGAGATCAAGAGGCACCTGAGTCCCTGCCAGGGACAACATCACGATCTTTTCAATTACCCACTATTTTGAAGCGGCTTAATCAGAAAGAGCAACCTGATTTATCAGTTGCAGAGAGGCCCCTGGAGCTCGGATCAGCGAGAATGGAGCAATCACACCAAAAGCATCCACTGCAACCAGTGCTTCGGTTTTCACGAAGGCGTCTTGAGGTAGAGCAAACAGTAGTGGAGAAATCCACCATAGTGACAGAGCAGCGAGCAAAGCTCCGTAGTTGGCAAAAGCAGAATTCATGTCAACAAAAATCAGCAATTGGTTCACTTGATTCAACTGCGATGTCGCAACAGCTGGAGCTGGGCCAGCAATCACAGCTCCAGAATCCAGAGAGACCTTCAGAAATAGAATTGGCAAAGGAGTTTTCTCAGCAGCAGCAACAGCCAGCTGCACTAGAGGAATCGGCACCACCATGTCATCAAAATGAATATGAGCAGAAGCAGGCAGCTTGTCAAGACCGTGGGAGTCCTCCTAAAGCAAAATTGGAGACAGCTACAACTGAGGAGGTATTTTTGCATTCTAACTATCCAGAAGATCCCCAGGAGGTGCAGCAGAAACTAAATAAGGAACAACCAAAGCATCGAGGCCGTGGGCGGCCTCCAAAGCCTCAACCAGCTACTTTGCCATCGGAAAAGCAGCAGCAGCAGCAACCCAATAGCCGAGGTCGGGGAAGACCTCGAAAGACGGACCAAAGAAAATAAGAATAGAAGCAATGGTAACTGAAAATTTCTGGTTATTTGTGGTAGAAATAACATTATGCTGCTTTTAGAGATGGGTGTTTGTTCGTAGCAGGTAATTTTTGTGCATCTAGATTGTTGTTACTCTTTGTTCGAACCAATTTTTTTCGTTCTTCTAATGGCATATCCTGTGAGCATAGTGTCTAAGTATGGTTATTTTAAGATTTGGTATTTTTAAAGTAATTCTTCTCTCCTAAGTTAGCATATCTCCTGCTCGTGTGTATCTATTAGTTGGGTGACTCAAGGTGACATAAATGTGAATGCCTTGTGATTATGGTTCTCATTTGGCAATAAATAGTCAGTTGGATATAAGCTACATAGCAAACTCATGTACTCCATGGGTCTTGTTTGTGACCTCTGTGTTCTAATTATATTGCTTCAGGGAAAAAATTAGTTATAAGGTTACCAATATGCTATCTCTGCTCTGTTCAAGGAGACTGTCTTATTGCATGTTGCATTTAAAGTGTCCTGATTTTGTTAACCTTGAGCAACCCATCCATGATATTAACATGGAAAGGCCAGCACTTAGCGTTGGTCCTGCTTATTGAGGGCACTGGAGGGATTGCTACAAGCCTAAGTTTTGGCAGCATTTGGGAAAATTATAGTTCTCAGTCTCGATTGTCATTCTCATACTCGGCAGTCAAACATTTTTAGTCAGTGCACCAAGCAATGACACATATAACATTGAAAGCATAGTGGTTCTTAACTGTTGTCTTCTGTAGATTTGTTGCAGTCAAGAGAGTAATGCATAAATTTAACTTTGGAATTTAAGATGAAATTGTCAAGCCTTTTAGCCAGATTTTTTTTTTACATGATTGCTTGTGTGCATGGGTAGCAGTGTACCTGACTAGTTTACATTATTTGGCTTCAATTTCCTTTTACGTTGATCCATATGTGATACTCTGGTTGAACTCCTTCACCTTAAGTGGAATTGATTGATTTAACCAACAATTTGCCCTTATTGGGGAGCATTATGGTAAAAGAGAGAGAAGTAATCCGCTCCAAAGCCCTTACCTAGGTGGAAGTGTTCCATAAATATCCTGGTTCTTTCGACTGTGATAGATAATTGGAAAAATTTCATCCACATCCCTTGTAGCTTGTCATATATTAGAAAACACCTCCTGCATTATCTGGAACTTCATTAGACTCCTTTGTATGTTATATCTCTTCACTAACTGACCAAAATGTGCTACTGTCATGCAATATTTTCTTTTCCCAAATAGCTAGGATAACCTTACTAGCATCATCATCTTCTTCTCATTGCTATGTTTATCCCCATCTTTTTCCTCTATCTCAAGCATATAGGGAGCACAGGCAAGTACACGTACATCTACGTACCCGCCTCTCCCCTCCGTCATATAGAGAACAGATACATACCGAGACTCATGAGTCATGACCCACTCTTCTCCTCACCATGCTTATCTCTGTCCTTTGATCGCTATCCCTGCAGATTCAAAGACTGAATGGCTCTCATCTGCATTAGTATTGAATACAATCAACCCAATATGAAGGCTGCCCATCCCGGTCACCCCTGCCCCACCCCAACCCCAGTACCCCTGCCCTCTAAGACGGTCTCAACACCAGTGTGAGGATGAAATACTCAAGACACAAACCCACCCTCATCTCACTCTCTCCTTCTACAAATGCTTTGGACCCAACTGCACAACTACCACTAGCCGCCACTGCCTCATTGTCGTTCCATCCAGCCAAGAAACCAATTCGAACTGTTGGAAGGAATCCTTGCTAACAACATTGTCACCACCATCAACAGTTTTGTTTCATGGATGTTTGGATGGAGTTGCAGGGTGGTGGTTCTTGCGGAGGCTTGACCAGAGTGGTAGTCTTTCACTTTTTCTGGCAAAAAACTGTGATGTTGCAATGGTATCTTACAGAATTCTGCTGTTGTTTGGTGTATTGTGACAGAAGCTGGCAGCTTTGTATTCCTGATTGTCTACTTGCATTTTAGATGAACTTTGAGTTGGAACTTTCAACCTGTTTCATGGGTTGGTGCTGAAATTTTGTACGTGGTGCTAATTATGCGGTGTTTCCATTTAGGTGTTAATATCAGTTAAACCTCCATTTGGTGGAGAAAGATTTGTTGCAATTTATCTCCATAAGAACAGTATACAGAAACACGTGAAATATTAGTAGAAATACATATTCTAGGCGGAATAGAAAGTAATGGATTAATCGGGGTGGGTTTCCCACTTATCTGCACATGTAGCTGCTGATTAAGCTGAGAGCTGTTATTTATGAAATTTTTTGGAGTCCTTGATGTTTAATGCTTTCATAGAAGCTCATATTGCATAATGCATGAGGCTTATTGTGGTTTGTTGCTGCTGTTGGACATAGGAATAAAATGAAGATCAAGCAACTGTACATGCATAGTATTAGATATACTCATTTTCAAGTGTTACCTGTCCCATGAGACATATCCAACAGGGACTGGTTGACCAACTGTCTAAACTCGAATTCTATGGTCTTCTCTTTTCCATTTTCACCCGTATCTTTTTGGTCGATCAGAGGGTTCTTATAAATGATACAAACATTCTGAAGTGTGATTGTGTTTGTTGAACAGGATTCTGAAATTGGCGACGGAAATCACCCCTTGCTGTGTTTGCATCGTAAGGGCAAGGCGAAAGTTACTTTCCCGCCGATCCAATGGTTACATTGAGGAGATGCTAGTGCATTATATCACAGTCCTGCCCATTCACGTTTCCGTTTGTTTTTTTTTTTGGGAGATGCAATTCAAAGAGATCCCTAGTGCCTTTCTTTCTAGATTCCTGTTTTCCTTATTTTCTGTGACTTCCTGCCCTTAGTGTAGTGGAAGCATATGAACCAATAAAATTGGGGAGAGCTGAATGTAAGTGATGCCAGCCTAATACTCCAAACTTCCGAATCAATAACTGCTAAGATTATGTTAGAGCATCTCCAATCCGTATGTCAAATGCTAGGTGGATGGAAGCTCCAACGGCTCTTTTTGGCATGTAAGGCTTCTCCAACCAGCATGTCAATTGTTGATTGGACAAAAATAAATTTGACATATCACAATAGATGTCAAATTTGACAAATGGCAATAAATATGTCAAATTTTTTAATGCAATATTTTATGAAGTTGTTGGGCGTTTAATACAAATTATTTTATATAGTTACATATAATTTGGTAAGAATTTATGTTTTAGAATTGTACTTTTAATTGTTGTTTAAATTTGTATTAGCTAAGTTTAATGAGAATTTTAATTTTAATAAAATATATATTATTTTTCATTAAAATTTATAATATTTAAAAATATATTATTTTTAATAATATTTGTTTTGATTGATCTCAAAATTTATTTTAAAAATATATATTAAATTAATATAAGGAAAGAGATTTAAAAATAAAGATTGGATAAAATAAATTATTTTGATGTATTGGTCGGAGTGCAAGATAAAAATGTCAAATATTATATGTCATATTATCATATAAGCCTTCAAATTAAATTTAATATACAGGATTTGACATCACTATTAAATTTTCCAACCCACAATTCAAACCCCTCTTAAACCCACGTACCAAACAGCCTCTTGATGTTCAAATAACATCCTGTCACGTCTCACATCTGTTGGCTATGCACTATGAAACAATTAAGTAAGTACAAATAAAAGTGGCTACCAGTGCTTCTCCCCTGGCGATACAGTTCTATGAATCTTCGTCACCTGAGGTTTTGCCTTGTTTCCCATTATGATACAATCGGGGTTGCTCAGCTGCGCTATTCTTCCTTTCTTTTTGTAAACGGACCTTTCCAAGAAAATGAAGGCACGGAAATGAAGTGAAACAATTTCCTGCATACAAAAGAGCGGTTAGTCCACATTTTGGTTGATATATGCAGCAACGCAAGACTCAAAAATAAAAACATCCACCAAGAGAGCTAAAAATCCTATAATCGATTATCGCGTATGGTACTTTTCCGCACAATCTGCTTCCAATCATATGGGGCTCAGCAGTGCAGTAAGACAGAAGCAATACAGTTAGACAAAGAATGTAGTTTGATGCAGCTCTTAAATATCAAAAAGATGTCCATTCCAAGTCCTAGCACCACAAGCGTATGTACACACTAAAAATCCTATAATCGATTATCACGTATGGTACTTTTCCACACAATCTGCTTCCAATCATATGGGGTTCAGCAGTGCAGTAAGACAGAAGCAACACAGTTAGACAAAGAATGTAGTTTGATGCAGCTCTTAAATATCAAAAAGATGTCCGTTTCAAGTCCTAGCACCACAAGCGTATGTACACATAACTATGCTTTCAATTGACATCGATATTTCATCTAGACTCATATTTATACACGATGGAGACTTTACACTCATATATAGTGTAGGATCGGCATTCTTCTTCCATTTAGCCACTTCCATCGAGTTGTCCATGGGAAACAAGGTGCGCCACGTATTGCTGCAGCATGTAAAGGAAAAATGAAGGTGGTTAAATTTGTGGAATATTAACTTCTCAACATGGTCACACTGCATCGACGCAATAGAAAAATTGTGTAGCGTACTATAGACTTGTCCTTGCATAAATTGGTTGAAGGCCAAAGACTAGGAAAAAACAAAATGTTTTTAAGGGCCAAGGCTTTTCAAGTCGAATCAACTAATCCGATATGTTTTCCAGCTTGTTATTAACATTTGAAAAACTGCCTTAGCATTCCGGAAGGAATCTCAATTGTGAAGCCTCGATTTAATGTTAATGTAATCCAAACATGAATATATGAGTAAAGACATGTACACAAGCTGTGGCTTTGGCAGTGTAAGACAAAAATGGGGCTCACAGCTTGCTAAAATCAGAATGGCAGTTGTATCATGATATGTCATACTAACTACATTTTAAATGCCTATGATTCCTTTAAGCTCAAGTCTGCATGGCAGGATAAAAACAGGCAAATTCAGGTTCCATTTTGTTCTCTGAAATATAGTCACCTGCCAAGGATCAAAATTTCATTTCGATGCATTATTTCAATCGCCTAGGAAATGAAAACATTTCAGAAATGTTTCAAAAGCATAATGAAAATGAATAAACAAATTTAGAATTCATCTCCAAAATATTGGTTGAAATATATCAATACATCTTAAAACATCTCGAAATATTCCGAAACAATGGTAGAAATATGTCAAAATATCTCAAAACACCTCAAAACATTGGAATTTTGCTTCCATTATTGATTCATTTCGATCTCCTTGGAAACAGAAATGTTTTAAACAAAATTTACTTTAGGTAGCTGCTTTGCTACAATTGGCCTACAAACACTAAGCTGAAAGACTTCATTAAGCAGAGCTGTGAGAATAAATATGAGACAGACAGGGCTAAACTGAAAGGATAAAGATATTATTCTCCAAATCTTTTGTTTCATCTCAGAAGAAACTATACTAACAGGTTCTCATTCTAATGATTCTGGCTGATATAAGAATCCTGCAGCTTTGCACAAGCTTGGGGACAACTAACTCCCTCCACTCCACTATTCCCACATTGCAACTACATGTGATTGACACCAATAAAAAGCGGAACCTCAAGCATTACAACTTTTGAGGTCATAACAAGACATTAGCAAGAGTTTCATACCCAATTCACTCAGCCATTGAGATGTAAATTGGAATTTGAATATAAAGTCTAATCCAGCAAAGACGTAAATAATTTACTACATAGGACCTCGTTCACGATTATCCCCTGTTGTGTTTATTTAATTTTAAAACACTACCTGTTTTCATTCAAGAAGTTTATTAGGGCCTGTTTGAATGACCAGCACAAAATGAGTGGCCATATTTTGTCTATGCATAGCACGCACCGGTATACATCCATCACTCAGACAAGCAGCATCATAGAAATCAGCAGTCACCACAAGGACTGTTTATCTAGTATAATTGTTGGTGGTTTGTGACTTATATATCAGAATGGAGCAATCCAAGTGTACCATAACCTTTAATTGCTCCTTTGATTTTTGCAAATGAAAACATACAAACTAATGATACACATGAAAATAAGCAGTAAAGGTGTTGTCAAACTTACTGCATGATACGCATATGGTGAATTCCCCTGGCGTTCAAAATGTTTAGCCATGATGCACCATTCAATTGGTCCCCACTCTTCCTCTTCAAAGCAATTGCCAAGTGCAGATTTATATAACTACATGCAAATTAAGATCTCAATTACCACATTAGATGCTAAAAGAAAACCAGTCAAATATAGCAAATATCCAAAAATAGACAGAAAAAAATAAATAAATGATCAAATTCAACATACCTTGGCAGTGTCAGTCAGGAGTTCAGTTCCAGCAGGGTACGATGCATAAAATTGGTCAGCTCGAGAGTACCCAGCTCTAGTCCTACAAGACCCATATCAACACAATGCTAAAATCCCATTTAGCAAAATGGTTAAAACCCAGATACATGTTGCCCTAAAATGATTAGAAGCCAGATGCACTTAAGCATAGTACAAGCCGTTTAGGTTGAATTTGACTTACGTATTGCTGGTGTACGCGTAGCTTAAGACTGCAACGAAGCAATAAAATCCAGTGTAGGACACAAGTCTTCGAAATTTTTGAATCTTCAAAATTTCTTTACAACCCTCGTAGATATTCATGTTTGATGGTCTCCAAAATGTACGAAATTTCCTGCAAATACTAATGAGGAGCTTCATTGAGACACTTCATCGAACAGCTCGTGTTCTCGAAGTTTTAGCTACTAATTATTTGTCCGGGTACCTCAAAAATGCATTTCAGAGAGAGAAAGAGAAGAAGAGAACTTACGCGGGTCAGAATACCAATTTATAGCCGTTATTCTCTTAGGTCTATCTCTCCACCCGGTAAGTTTCTCCAAGGTCTATCAGTCGTCCTATTGTGAAATGGAGGAGAAGTTGAAATAACGAAGTAACGACGCCGTTCTGTGAATCATTTCAACGAACTTGTCCTCGTACATCTGAATTTTGGGCGAATATTATAAAAGTTTCGATTTATACCCCCAAAGATTAATTTCCTTACACTATACTCTCAGACCAACTTTTTCTGTTGTATCCGTCAGATTCACATGTGTCGTGTGCATCAAGATTTGATAAAACAACAATGAAAGTTAGTGTGAGGGCTGCATTATAATTATTTTATAATATTAAGGGTATAATGTAAAACAAAACTTATTTTGAGGATATAAATTAAAATTTTTCAAGGTATAAAATGCAATTTCTCCCTTAAAATTTTCGAATTTGTTAGTCCATACCAGTCTTAATACCCAAGCCTGCTATGGGTTGGACCACTCGGGCTTTTACCAAATTCCCAGGTTCGGGCCTACCCTAATGGGTCTTAAAGTGGCATCTATTTCAAGAATTCATACTTTGTTTTTTTGGGCTCATCAAGAATTCATACTTATACTTGTTTTGAAGGTATACATAGAACAAGTATTTTTTTCCAAGAAAAAAGAAAAATAAAGATATTGGGCCACCTCGTCGGGCCTTGAATTGGGTCAGACCTAGGCATGTTAACGGATCGGTTTTAGACCGATCTAAATTCAATTTCAATTTTAAAAAGCCAATCCGAATATAATCTGTCAAATTTTTTTAAGAAATTTGATATGATTCGAATAACTTAATTTAACCGGATTAAACTTAATGTAGTCTCGCCTCTATGTCAAGTTTGCAAACAATTCCCAGAAACAATTGAGCATGCTGTGTTTGAATGTGAATGGAGTAGCAGAGTGAGATTGATGTGGGTTATAAACCAGAGATGATGTCTTTCGAATCAATGGCTAAGAGATCTTCTAAAATTCTTGAAACTATTGGGGATTCTCACTGGAGGCTGGAAGTTTTGGGTAAGATAGCTACTGTTGGTTGGCCAATCTGGAAAGCACGCAATGAAAAAGTGTTCAATTTCGAGGAGCCAAATGCATATTCTACTGTTATTCGAGCTCAATGCCTGTGGAATGAGCTGAAGAGGCTGGATGGGGAGAATTATCTAAAGGCACCAAATGTCTTAGTTGGCAGCGAGAACACATTGCAATCTACGCAATCTGGAATTTTCCTGAGTTGTGATGGAGCCTTCAATCCAAAGACTTCGAAAGCTTCTTGTGGAGTTGTGCTAAGGAATTCTGAAGGAAATCTACTGGATGGAGCAGTAAAGAATATACCAGCGGTATCCATTTTTTACTCAGAAGCAGTAGCGATGCGTCAAGTCTGCCTTCTAGCAGCGACACAACGACTGACAAACACTACAATCAGAAATGACTGCTGGAACATTATCAAACCCAGCTCCAATGAGAATGTTGGAAAATTAGTAACTTTGTTGAAGACATAAGAGATCTAGCTAGGTTACATAACCTTACTTTTTACATAAGTCAAGAGTCATTAACAAAATTGCTCATTAGGTGGCAGCTTCAATTATAAACAACTCTCTTTCATGGAGTTGGATTTGCTACCCTCACTTGAGCTAAATGCTTCTATTTCGATTGATTGTAATTTGAATTTTTCTACTTGAATAAAATTGCTTGGCTTTGTTTGATAAAAAAAAAAAATTAATTTCTTTAAATAATCACTTAATTTTTTCAATATTTACACAAATATATATAAATATTTAAAATCGAATCATAATTGAATCGAATAAATATATATATGATGGTACCACAAAATATTTAAGGATGAGCTCAGTTCTCTAAATCATGCTTACCAACTCGGGAGCTCAGCTTAGCTCATCAATATTACTTATGGACCTTGACTTTAAATCTCAACTCCTTGTGTCCATATTTCAAAAAAATTTGTTCAAAGGACAGCTGGATCTCACCAAGTCCCCCATCTTTCTGGCGTCAATCACTTTGCGTTGCACAATAAAGGGCAACCGTTACGAGAAAAGGGTGAGGATCTCGCCCTAGATTAAGCAAAACTCAGGAATATTTATAAATAAAAGACAAATCCCTCTAGAGAAGATATAACGATTGTAGCCTTGTAAAATATTCTCTGTAAATCACATACAATTATTAATAGATTCAGGAGCAAGAGACTCCTTTTACGAGTGGATTAATCGAGCTCTCGAGATAGTGAACTACTATAAATATTGTGCGTAATCATTCATTAACCCCCCCAAAAAAAAAAACCTACCCTTTAGAGTGTAGGAGTTCAGACTGAACTATTCAGTACATCTTATATTCATACATCTATCCAATCGCGTTAATAACATCATCAATATATATATCCAAACTCAATTTTGAATTGGTAAAAAATATATAATTAATGTCTAATTAATTTAATTTAAATTCAGATTAAAATTATAAGCGTAATTATACCACTCAAACTCAAGAGCAAAGGCCCGGGACTCTACTCTCCGGGCCAATGTACTACCCAGAATCTGCCACGTTATAGGCCAAATTACCCATTTAACCCTAGACAATTTATGGCATTTAACATCACGTCACCTTGCCTTTCCGTCCTTAGTTGTTGTTTGCTATAAACGTAAATTATTTTTTAGGAATTTAAGTGGAATTAACTAGATATAAGTGAATTTTAATGTTGTACTAATGATTATTAAAGATTTAAAAAACCAAGTTGAAAGAAATTAGAATCTGTTTATCAGAATCCGATTATTAAAAAATTGTTCTATTTCTTATTATGAATCATGATTTCTTGTAAAATAAGATTAGCAATAAGTTATCATAGTTTAATCGTATTATATTAAAATTTATTTAATCTCATTACTCATGATAATATTTATATTGATATCATTAATAATAAATAAATCGTACTTACAATTACAACCACACGAATTAATGATTAAGCATTTGGTATATGATTGGTAGGATACTAATATTTATTTAATTACTAACTACAAAATCATGGGGTAAAGTGCGGAGGGCCCACATGTTATCCACCGTGACTACAAGACACGGTCTATGATGGACATCCAATCAGCAATTCCGGTAGGACAAAAAGACAAAGTGGGTCCCACTGTGTCTCCTACCCAGTAATCAAACTGGGCCCACAAGTGCCATGTTTCTATGTGCTATACCCAACCTAATCATCAAGGCTGATCCCACATATCACCCTTTTGCGTTTCCTTTTCCGCCCGTGCGTGTATGGGCCAGGTCCAACAAGTACTCAAAAATAATTTTTTTGATATCATATATTTTATTTTTCAAAAATTAATAATAATAATAATAATAATTTTTTTATTATTATAAATATTAATATTATTAAGATGACCAGATACTCTAAGCCATCTCTACACATGAGGGGAAGAAAACTACTTCTCACAGAGAGTTCACAAGCACTTCTCTCTCAACACATTTTGAGCTTGTTCATGCTCTCCCTCACCAACTATTTTATTTTTTTATTAATAAAGTTCTTCAGACAACCACTGTCGCTGTCTTCTGTGATTAGATTACTTAGAACCAATCACTAAATTTTTGTCTCTTACTGTTAATTGTTTCGTTAATTGCTTTACAACACACACTCGACTAATTGATTGTGTATATATTTATTTTTGTGCATCATCAATTACAATTGATTGAGGTAATTCATAATTAATCATAACATTTCACAATTGATTATGAATGACCTCAATCAATTGGTCTTTTACAAATTGCAACTTGACTTCTAATAATACTAGCTTGATCTTTAAAAATAAAATTTTTAAAGAACAATCGCAATATTTTATTTCGGTACCGTAAACATCCTCTCGTGAGAATAACAATGAAGAGAAGTGCAGAATAATTCATGGGCGTTTGGTGGATAGGAGTAAGTGCTCACCATGTGTACAATGGACATTTCAAGTGACTTTCATATAGGGAAGAAGATGCCAATAGAACCTAAATAAACGCACTGACTTTTACTTTTCATAGTCAACAGGTGTTTCATTCTCGCAAAGCTTGAATACTTCACCACTGTCCACAAGGAACGGTTAAAATGCCCCTCCCTGCAAGTTTTGTTGAATAACTCATGCACCCCAGTGGGAACTCAAGAATGATATGCTTAAGGCCAAGTTTTGGGCCCCTCTGTCAAGTCTCAAGTCTGTTGGTTGAAATTCGTCAGTTCAATACGCAATTGATATGAAATTACTTGGTGTGAACTTAACTTCAATACGCAATTGATATGAAATTACATGGTATGAACTAAACTTTAATGGGTGCAAATATAATTGGGTTGACGCTCTAAAGCTATTGAGACGAATTTGAGTATGTTCAAATCTAATCCAATTATATGAAAAATATAAACAACTTGCACAGAATTTTTCATATCAAAAAGGTACATTTTGCGTTATTTTACTGGTTTCATGAACAAAAATATGTTCACTAAGGATTCCGTTTTGATCACCAAACTGGAAATAAATTCTGCCACCCGGGGATGTAGTTGTAAACAGGTCAATTTTAGTGGATCATTGGCTCCACTTGAGTGGAGAGCCTTGACTTTTAAAACCTCCATTCTTTGCATTCTTTCTATTTATTGCGTAAAAGGTTTGGCCTCTTTACTGTTCTATTCGTTTCTAAATATTTGTTGTTTTACATAATTTTTTTTGTTCCATAATATCTGTTGTTTTATGAAATCAAAGCATAATTAATTATTTTTCTTCCAAATTTACCCTTAATTTTTTAATGCATTAGATTAGGTGGAGGTTAAGTGTCTTTCATATTCTTTTCCTTCTCAATATATATTGAATAAGAATATTTTAGTCTTGTGTAATTATTTTTTACTCATATTAAAGCTATTTAATAGCTTCCTTAATCCCTATACAAAAATCTTAAACGACAGATATTTAAGAACGGAGAGAGTATTGATCTTGACAACCTCACTTTATGCCTAGTTATTGGTATTAATGTATATAGGCGTTAGAATTCCTCTATGCCCAAAAGCAGGTGAATAGCCTTAAAAGTGCCTCATTATAAATGATTTTATCATCCCAATACATTGCACCATGCTTCCATATTATGTCGTATATAATATATATTGGTTCACAACACTTTTCCATCCATCAATGTGGATTTAGATCTACTTCAGTATTAGATTTCTTCAACTATAGTTAAATCATGAATAACTCAAGATTGATTGGAATTAAAACTCCCGTGTAAAATGAACCAAAGTCGAATTCAATATTCAAACTTGTTTAATATAAAAGTCGAACTTGAACCTGACCATATTATATGTATAAATGAGTTGAGTTTGAGGTTGAACGCGGGTTTGAACTCGAATTTAAGTTTGAATACAAAATAAAGCCTAATTAGTCTAATCAAACGTGTTGAATAGGAAAAAGCTAATGAACTTAATAAACAAAAAATTTGAAGTTGATTACTACAATACCTATATAAGATGCAGATCTCTTTCACAAGGTCACCCATCTCACCATCATAAGTCAAGTTCTAATGATATTGAAGATAAAATTGATGTAGGTTATCAAGGACAGTGAGTGCTATACACATCATGCTAAGTGGTTGTTTGTATTATTTTTTTTGTATTACGGTTAGGGTGTTTAAATTAGTTTATGTGCACTTCGATTCATTTTTTTTTTATTTAATCAAAGATAAATCATTTATATCGAGACTAAAAAAAATCAAAATTTTTTAAAAAAATTCTGAAATGTTAGATTTAGAATATCTGAATTCAAATTAGAGGCTCAAGGGTTTCGCAACTATTTCACCATCTGACCTCTGAACCGACAACCATGGTTCAACTCCCACTGGCTCAAATAGAGGGTCCTGCCGGTGCTTCACATACACCTGAATTTTGGTCATTCAGACACGTGTCGTACATCTGACGGGTCATAAGTTTGACTTGACGACCACAGTCAAGTTTCAACAACCCTGCGCAACCCCAATAACCATTACATTACCATCTTTCCCCTCTCTCTCTCCTGTTTCCATTTTCTACCTTCTCTGTTGTCTCCTCTCTCTCTCTCTCCTAATTTGACTTTTTTAATCTTTACCTGTCTCTATTTTCTACTTTCTCTGTTGTCTCTTCTCTTGTTTACTTTTTCTCTTTTTAAATAGCTGTTTATCTCTCTATATCATCATCTTTATCATTTCATCTTCGGATCTTCCTTCTTTTTTCTGCAATTTTCATGGAGGTTTTTCGTGCAAGCTCTACAGGATTGGAGCTAACCATGTCCATAGGATTTTCCTCATCTCCATCTCTTCCTTCCTCTGGTAAGCAACAAACTATATCATGGTCTCTCCCTCACACACAGAATTCTCTACGCACTCTATAAATCTTTTTCTGCTTTTTTCTGGGTGTTTTGAGTCAGATCGTTGTTTGACCCCTTTTCTGATGTACATGTTAGTCTTTTATTGGGGACAAATTTTCAGAGATATGGCGTTTGCTTTGAAGTAAAAGTTTTATATTGCTATAATTCATTCAAATTTTTTGTCTGAATTGTACGACTTTCTAGATTCTTTCTTGCATGGGCCATTGGACTTCATACGCTCAAATTCGATTTTTTTGTTCTTTAATCTTAGTTTTAGCCTTTAGGGTCCACAAATGATTGTTTTTAATGGTCGAGACGGGTTTGAATCGTTTGATGTTTAGTATTTGTTTTAATGTTACTTTTCTGTGAATATATCAAAATATTACTGAAGGTGAAGGTGGTGGCCTAATGAGAGATTTGGACATAAACCAAGTACCCTCAGGAGCAGAAGAAGAATGCATGGATGAAGAAGATGAGAGCCCCAATGGAGGCCCTCCCAGAAAGAAACTCAGACTCACAAAGGAACAGTCTCGTCTCCTTGAAGAAAGCTTCAGACAAAATCATGCCTTGAACCCTGTAAGCCTGTCTGTCTGCCTCTCTCTCTCTCTCTCTCTCTCTCTCTCCCCCCCATATAATCAGTTTGGGCATGTCTTGATGCAGAAGGAGAAGGAGGCTTTGGCAATGAAATTGAAGCTAAAGACACGGCAAGTTGAGGTGTGGTTTCAAAACCGTAGGGCAAGGTACTGTACCAGACTTTAACATGTGTTGGAGTTAATGATTTGTTGGTACTTGGTAGTTGGGCTTAAAGTAGTAGAGCCTATTAAATATACGTTTACAATATTATCAAATATATATAATCTGAATCAGATTCTAGTCCTTGTGCCCGTCAAAGTAGCAGGATCCTTCCTTTATCAATGGTATATCAATATTACATAATATCACCATGCTTATGGGTTGAGGTAGTCGATCGGTTTGGCATAAAGATGATGTTGCACAATTGATACATTATTAGTCACAAATTTGAGTTACAAAAATAGCTTTATCGAGTAATGTTGAGTATATGATATAATCCTTCGTACACTCCGGACAATTTTAGGTTTTCATTGTTTTGGCAAACGGGCACAGGAGGGACCAAGTGTCCTAACTTTCAGAACAAAAGTTTATGTCTGCTTTAGAATGCAAGACACTACATAGCTAGATTGCCAATATGCATGTATGTAAGAATTAATAACCTTTATCATGTGACCATGTGTCTTAGTATTCTACATTTGTTTAATCACTTTTGTGGGTATGTATATGCACATATTAGGCTACTAGAAGCTAGACAATTATACTATTTAAGCACAATAAAAACAAGTTTGGTATTTAAACACAAGATTTTAGTACTTCTTTAATTCATCGGTAACCATTGAAATTTTACTTTTGCCACTAAATTTGGATATAATTTTTTTTCCACTAATAAAAATTTCCTTTTTTTTTTTGGTGTGAACTAACTGCTCAATAAATCTTTTGAGTTAATAAAGTCATTATCTCATGGACCCTTTCAGACCCAAATAACATAATTCTGAAAGAAAAATTCCATGCGTTTTTTGTATTCTTCGGCTTTATGTGTTCTTTGTTTTTTTTTTCTTTGATAGAAGTCGTAGTCATTCCATGAATTTATGAGTTGATCATGTCTTTAATGAGTGCCAGTTTATGTGGTTTGTGATGGACCAGCAGTGTCCTGAAAGCTCAATAAATGCATATGTTACTTCATCTAATCAATTGCTTGTAGTTAGTGGAGAAGTCTAAGGTACCCAAAAGCAAAAAAAAAATTATTTTGCCGTCAGTATATTATGTGATTTTCTTAACAATTTATGAGGATCATTTATAATTTTTATCGTAATTTGTAATCGATCTTAAAGATGTTATGATCGGTTCTAACATTTTTAAGATCAATTGAAAAGTTATCACAAAAAAAAAAGTTGTAACATGACTAAACAAAAAATTATAATTTTTTTATTGTAAATAAATCCAAAAACTTGTATTAAAACCCACAAAAGTTATAAAAGTTGAGAATCGGGTACTTTTTTTTTTTTTGGAAACCGTAGTCTGCTAGGTAATTGTAACGTGTCACTAATCTTTAAGTTACATTTATGCCATGAATGTGCCAAAAGGATGAAGTAAGCTGTAAAGGCCATTTTTCATCAGTAGGATATTTATGGAAATAAAAGTAGGATAATCATTACAATACTTATGAAGCTAAATGTAGGAGAAATAATTCAATCTTACTACTTTTTTGTGCAGTAGTAATTACAAGCACATCTGCCTTCATGAGTTTGCATTTCTGGAATCATTTAATGCCTGATATCATGTTGATGAAGTGAGGTTGTGGTGGAACTCATTATGCCCAACTCACAATGAATGGTTGTATTTAGTCATAAGAATAAATGAACCAATCCAACAGATATTTGTATGTCTATACACAAATGTTCATGTGTGTTTGGAAAAGGAGAGAGAGAGAGAGAGAGAGAGAGAGAGAGAGAGAGAGGAAAGCAACATGATTCCTCAAAATGCCTAGAGACAACCACTTACCAATGGTAGGGTTTAGTGTCTTGTAGTTCTAAGTTTCGATTCATATCATCTACAATGCACGTGGTTTGTGGATTATTACACATATTCAGAGTTTGTATTGTATTGTAGAAATACTAATATTTTTTCATCCGACTTTATTGATCTAATCTATAAAAAAAAAACACATGATCGGTAAAATAAAGAGGCGTGATCACTTGGGCTAACTTGTCGAATTCTGTTGATTCAATCGTTATGCAGGAGCAAGCTGAAACAAACAGAGATGGAATGTGAGTACTTGAAAAGATGGTATGGTTCACTGACAGAACAAAACAAGAGGCTACAAAAGGAGGTGGAAGAGCTAAGGGCCATGAGGGTTGGCCCGCTGACCCTGATTTCACCGGACCGCCATGAGCCCCTCCCAGCATCCAGCCTCTCCATGTGCCCTCGATGCGAGCGTATCACTACCAGTACCGGCCTAGACAAGGGCCCTACCAAAACCACCACCATTACTGCCACCACGACCCACCCCGCCACCTTGTCTGGTAAAGTGCCCACTTTTCGGTCCCGACATCCCTCGGCAGCTTGTTAGGTCAGCTTTCCCTACTGTAATGTCTCCATGAAAAGAAAAGGAGAGACTAGAATCATTAGGTGATGTTCATAATAGTGGTACTGTTAGGTCATGCAATGTACTTGGGATAATAACATGGGAATGTATTTTGATATTTCTCCTTTGTGGCACATTCTTTTCATGTTATAGTCTTTTAGTATCTTAGAGTGTGTTTGGGATAGTTTTAAAAAAAGTATTTTTAGAATATTTGACTTATGATAAGTCATTGTTTTTTAAAAAAGTAATGTTTGTGATATCTTATTAAAAACACTTTTGAATAAGTAAAAATAATTTTAACACTTAATAAGTGCAGGACAAAAATAATAACTTTTCCTTTTGATAAAACACTTTTTTTTTCACTCTCACACCCATGCTGCCTCTCCGATTAAGATGCCCTCATACACGGACGACACCAATGATGACCACTTCGCCTTCAATCATCTCACCGATCACCAAAAATGCCAAAAGTTGCTCTCTTTGTCGCCGATCTTTGGCTTATGGTTGATTGAGATCCACTGTAATAGAGGTACAACCTCTTCATTTTAAGTGATTTTGTAGCTTCTATTCATTGATCTATTATCGCAAAGCAACGATTCAATTTTTTGTTTGATTTTTTATGTGTTTCTATAATTTTATTTGAGGTTTTTGGGGTAACATTTATGACGAAATTTGTGGATATCGTTTAATGATTTTGAGAAAAAACATTTTTCTTCATTACATATTAGACCTGTGATATCTTTATGATTTAGATCTTTGATATTGCACACTGCTCACCAGATGTTTGATTTATGTAGGCACCTAAAATTGCCCTATGCAATGAACTCTATGAAACCATTGGTGCTATAAGATTAACCCCAAAACTCTGCATATACCAATTATTCATATGAGCTGAGGATGGAAGAGTGTGAAACTCTAATTATTTTTTCCACTCAAAGCCGAATATAACAAAGAAACAAACCAGGCTTCAAGTAGTTCATTTTTTTATGTCTCATTTTGTGGATTAATATTTTTTTTTCTCCCAGCCCCATGCATTCTTTTTTTTTTGGGTAATTGCATGCTAAACCCATAAAACTTGTGCAGAAAGCTTATTTTTTCCACTCAAACCCATTGGTATAATGGGTTGCTGAAAGTAGAAAGCTTAGACAAGATATGAGTTGTGTTTTTGCTGTAAATAATTTTTAAAAGACAGTCCCCACCATCTACTTTTTGAAATTTCAACTCTAACATGTCTTATCTTTTTCATTTTCTAATGTGTTTTGTTACTTGATCCTTTCACAATAAAAAATTTATGACTGATTGTATGTTTTTCAAGGTGATATGTGACCATTTGAGACTTAGAATCAAGATAGGGCTGCTCTACAGATGGCACAACAAAGCTAACAATCCATTTGTGTGAACCTTAAAAAAGAGTACAATGGCATCTTCTGGCACAAAGAGATCATCCCCTTCTTCCAAGCATCTGCCCTTATGAAGGAATGCACTACTGTTCAAAAGTGTTACATTGAACTATTCAAGTAGGTTAAGGAAAAGCTTGGGAAAGTAGAACCGTACTATGTCAAGCTTGGGGACGCCATGGTGACATGGATCGAAGCTCGGGATGAGCTCAACCTAGCCACAAGACTACCAAATTGTCCAATGTCTCTGTCAAGTGAAAGTTTTAATTAACAGTAACTACCTTATTTTTTAGCAGCTATGAAGCTCAATTATTTGCATCGTTACATCATTTTATCCAAGTCTTGGTTTACAAATTAGTATCTGTAATTTTTTTTTTTTTTTGGTTTCTTGAAATAATTTTGCTTTGACATGAATCTGTAGTTTGAATTAACAATCAATTTTACTAATATTATATGAGTTTGTTCAATTTAGTTGTCGAGTTTAATTATTATTATATGAGTTGTGTGTATAGTCTATGTATTTTGTGATGCTACTTTAAATGACTTCTAGTAGTTCTAGGAATGACAAAGACAAAACAAGGCGGACTGCGGAGAGATACAAGACTTTTTTTTTGTTTTATGTGTTACAGAAGAGGATAATATTTAGTTGGACTATGTAATTTTTTCGTATGATGCTTTTATTAATATGATATTTTTTTGCATAATAATTTTTGTATATCAACGTATGTGTAATATATGTTTGTATACGTGCATTCAATACTATGATACAACTTTTTGTACATGTCTTTAGTAAAGGACGTTAAGAAAATTAATAATAATAAAAAAAAAAAAAAACTTTACATGTCAATGCAGGCACAAATCTGGCAAAGTGAGAAGGCCCACAAAATTATTTTCACGGGCTAAGTCCAGTTCCTCTATAATTGGGCCAAAGCCTGGACTATCATGACTTGTCCAAGCACAGGGTATAATAGTTGGTATTGGGTCATATAATTTGGCCCAATTAAAATATTTGGCACTATCCTTATGGTGGGAGAGTTGTATAACTCCATGAATCACTTAAATACACATTTCTTTCAATTCCCTGAATCCTCAAGTATTTGCCATGAGTCTTAGCTAGACCCAATTTGTTCGAGTGGGTCTTAGTTGGTGGGTGATCTCGTATTTAGAAAAATTAAAGTAAAAACATATTAATATTGGATCCAAATTCCAACTTTGAGATATTATTATTATATTTTTAAAATTTAAGAAGGCATATGATATTACCATCAATCATTATATTTTTGCTAGTAGGCTGCTTCTAATCAAAGAGCTAGGTTGATAGTACGAATCCAAACCTATATCTTAGATTTTATTCAGATGTAGATCACCCATTATATATTACTGAAACCCACTTATATACTATGAGTTTTACGAGAATTCATTATATATGATCTACTAAAAAAATATATTAAAAATGACCTTACTCCTTAAGGCACGACGCCAAAGTCATGCTCAATATACACAACTTTTGGCTGTAATAGTGTATGAGAAAGAGTTGATAAAAACGTTTGTACTATCATTTTGGAGAAACTAATTCTCGAAGTCTAGGTCAAAGGTCTAAGAAATCCTTTCCTAGAATAGGGTTGTTTTTTTGCTCTGTCATCATGGTTAAGCGGAGTTATGGCATGTTATGCCCTACAAACTTGTAAAACCACGAGGTAATGTAGCAGGAGAAGCCAAAGGTACAAGCAATGATGGGGGGCAGTTGCAGATAATTTGTCAAGGAACAAAGTTTGGGCCAACAACAACTAATAGAGTTGGGATTGGGGGAGTAAGCCCACAACACATCCAATGATCCTGTCTGAGACAACCACCCTTCCTACAACTCAACTTGTAGGGCATGCCCACCTTCAATTTCTCCCAAATATAGAGCATGGGATGACATCTTTTAGTGGGTGTGGGGTGTCACTCAGTGTCTTTTTATTTTTGTTTTTGCTTCATTAATAGATAAGAGTTTTGTCACATCAGTATACAGGAGGAGAGGGAAAGGAAAGCTTGAACTGATTGGAAAACTAGTTAAAACTATTCCTGCCAACCAGTTAGACTTGGAGATAGTGCTTCGACTTGGACTTGTTGGCTTTCTTGAGCTCTTGCGACTTTAATATGTATGTTCAATATATTCATGTATTTTTCCCCTGTGAAATTGGCCCCGGTCTGCTTTCTTCGAAGCAAAAATTACTATGGGATTTGGGAGTTCAAATTAGAAAAATTTTATATAATCATATCTTGTGAAAAAAGAGAGAGTAAATGGTTAGACACACACAAAAATAATGGCATAAATAGAGGGAAATAAAATAAATAATATCTGGAAAATGATTTTCCGGGGACATCAAACAAAGAACATGTTTTTCAAAGCTATGCAAGTGAGTGAGTTTGGCATCTATGAACTGTCCTATTTATTTGTTTTGGACATGAATTGTCGGATTCAAATAACAGATATAATGACTGATCTAAAGTTGTGTCTTTGTAGTGCCCACATGAACACGATGGAACACTCCATTATTTGATTTTATGTTAGCTTTTCTATGAAGGTAAATGGGAAAATGAGTAATTGTACTTCGAAGGGCAATGACCATGAAAACTTTGTGTTGGGTTAAAAATAATTTTGTCTCCCAAATGTTATTCCTAATTCCATTTATCCCTTGATTTTTTTTTCCCCCAAATATGTCCTCAAACTATCAAGACGAATGCAATATCTCTTTCGTTAGTTTTAGTCATACTTTCTAACAAATAACAATGTAAGTATCTAGCCACCAAGTAGGGTGGTCTAGTGGGGTACCGGCCTTATTTTTTACCTTGAGATTGAGAGTTTGAGTCTTAGAGTCCCCATTGAAGCCTGGTGGTTGACCGCTATATTAGCCTAGTTAAGTTTGGTACCGAGAGGTGTTCCAAGCGTGGCCAGGGACTTATGATCCCACCGATAAAGATCTATCGGGGTGGTCACTGAACGCTCTTTCATGCCCCCACCTCTTTTTTAACCAGCAAAAAAAAAAAAAAACAATGTAAGCATCTTACGATAAATCATATACAGAAGAAATAGAAAAACATGGATAACAATGATATTATGAAATGAGACTCCACTAATATAGGAACCAATTCCATTAAACCTATTGGAGAGTCCCCCTAACATGCACCCAATAAGAATTGAATCTATGAATTCGTCAATCAATGAGTTGGGTGTTTTAATCATTCAATCATGAATACTTAGCGGAAATCCTTATCTATGGTAAGTAACAAAAGTCCTATTGAATTGAAGTTTTCCGAATCAACCAAAGTAATTTAGGAGGAGTCAATAGAAGGACATCAATTCATAGCCTGTATTTTCGAACTGAGAGAGATATTAAGAGGCATCTAGAATTCTCAACGTCTCAAGAGTTCAATATAGTGGCAACATTCATCACATTTTTCCCACCAAAAATGTTTTATTAAACCCAATGGATAGGATAAGAGGACCAAGAACTAAAGGAATCACAAAAAGAAAATGAAAATGAGGAAAACAAAAAGCTTTATCTCATCACACTTTCTACTACTATATCTCAACAAATCAATCTCGAGATTTGGGAGTTATCGAAGGGGGTGTTTGAGAGATTGGTGGAGCCAATTGCCCAAAACAAGCACTACCTAATGATTCCAAAGTAGT